GATCTTCACTGATTCCTGCGTGATCTTCAATGGATTCGGGTTATGAGCAGGGTGAGTCACAAATCACTATTATAAAATAATAGACTTATAAAAGTTAAGTTAATAAAACTAAATCCACTATCGGAAAAAGTTTAATGAAAGATAGAATCTCTGATATTCCTTGTAGGCTTATCGTCGCTGTAGAATTGTGGTAAAGACCGGTAGGTATGATTTCGTGTTGAGGTCAGTGGGATGATGAATCTGTTTGGACGTTTCCAACATCATCCTGATCTATCGCTGGTTTGGCTGATAATAGGAAACGACGAGATTAAAGGTTCATCTCCTCTTAGACCTCTATCACAATACTTGATTTGCATTTTGCAATAGTACGTCGAATTATTGAGTGGCCGATGAATGAATGAGCTGACATTTTTGTTTCACAGTTTCACTATTGAGGATGTAGTATTGTAGAGGCTCGTCCTTGTTCCTTTTCGAGATGACGAGGTGCATTTAGCGATATTTTCTTCAGCCTTCGATCGTCAGCAGAAGATGTTATTCTGTACACAGTCGGCCACTGTGTAGCCGTATGATTATCAGCGTGACGGCCAAACAACGTACAATGCGTCGTGGGCCGGGCGTCATGGAAATGAAACGTCTGAACTTTAAAACAAACCTGCAATTCCGTTGAAAAGGGTCGCCGTTGTGCAATGGACGGCATTTTCAAAAGAAAATCTGCCACTTGGTGTGTTTAACGGAGAAGTTTCGCTACAGAAACAACATTTGTACAATCATCGTAATTAAGCTTGACGCAATACAAACGGGGATTCGTTAAACTTTTTATATATTTTTTTTTTAATCTTGGCCTTTTACTATGTTTTACTGACCTTTTCCTGTTTAATTAATCTCTTAAAAGATTTTAAAAAAGGATAATCTATTATTTAGATAATTAACGTAAAATAGAGAAAAATTAAAGAAATGCGAAACAACAATATTTGAACTTAAATTATAAGTACAATAATTAATTTAAAGTATTAATTTGTCAATTTATAACCTTTTTTGTTGTTGTAATACATCATTATTTTGTTGTATTTTATTGACATTGACAACGAATTCATTTTTTATTTATTCACTTAAACAGAGCTACACTTTCACGGTCCATTTTTTATTGAAGTTGCTCAGGGATATAAACAGGGTGAGACACAAATATCATTCCAGTCCTTATTTGACCATAAAAAGCTTGTAAAAGAGACAATCTCAGCTAAGTGGAGCAACAAGTGCCACAGGTTTTGAGGCATGGCTTATAAAATATAAAGCAAGTAAAACGTTTCAAATCCCTCACAAATAGCAAAAGATTATAGTTGACAAATAATAATTTCAATGTATAGACCAACCTTTACGTTCTATAATTATGCACAACAAACGGTAGAGACAAAAAGATACATTGGAACGCACAGTTGAGAGTCCAAAAATTCCATGGCAATATATAAATTATTAATACATTACAAATATGTTTTTGCAATATAAATCTTTAAATATAGCATCAAATTTCAAATATAATAAGTCTGATGTCACGATACACCGGACAAGCGTGACAGGTTTTGAGGCATGATTTCCATTTCTTTCTTCTGTTTATTAAATATGCAAGTAAAACGTATTTCACATCTCTCACTTAAATACGTTAAAGCTATGTTGTTATATAATAGCATAAAGAAAAAATCAATCAAATTTGACAAATAATAATGTCAGTCTATCCGCCAATCTTAAAAATTCTACAAGAAACGGGCAGAGTAGAAATAGCAAGACACCGGAACGCAGAGATTGATGAAATTTGTCATAATCCAACAATTCCATAATAATATATTCATTATTAATATATTACATGCATTTTTCCTAATATAACTTTCTAAATACATCAGGTTAAAAAAATTAAGTCTGACGGTAGTCCGAATAAGGAGCACAGGTTTTGAGGCATGGCATCGATTTCATTGTTCAGTTTATTAAGAAAGCAACTAAAACGTATTCCATGTATCGTATTAACCAATAGAAAAAATTAATTTTATTCGAGAGCAAATAATTTTACCCTTTTTTCTAGACTTATCAATTCTTCAATTGAAACAAGCAGAGGAAAAACGGCGATACTCTAGACCGCATATATTGGTGAAATACGGTCAAGTATTTTGAACTGGGCATAAATATTTTTCAAATTAAATCAAAGAAGTTGACGTCACGATAGTCCAAGCTATGTTTTGATGTGACGTCTTTCTTCGGCTTATTATATATAGAAGTAAAATGTATTTCGTGTATATCGCTTAAACAAAAGCATAAATATTAATCATTTTAGAGGAATAAATTGGGCTAACCTTAGTAATTCTACAATTACAATAAACAGACACAGCAGAAATATCAATACAATAAAGCGAGATTGATCAAAATTGTATATTTAATGATAATATATTCTTTATAAAAATATTGTAAGTATATTTTTGAAAATAGAAATGTTTAACTGTTGCATAGTTTGTTTTAAAGTCATACGACTCGATAGTCTGAATAAGTTTCAGATTTTGAGGCAAAACTTCGATTTCTTGAATATGCAAGTAAATGTTTTTCACGTCTCTCACTTGAACAATACCATAAATAAAATGATGATGATAAAAATGATCACAGTTGACAAATAATAATTACAGTCTAAAATTCTATAATTACAATAAGCAGGTAGAACAGAGATAGAACGGAGAGATAACAACATAGGATTATACTTGACGTACATAATTTTTTAATTATATATTTTTAAATTCCACATAGACTATAGAAAATGAAGTGTGACGTCATGATAGTCCAAAACAAAGGGTGCAAGTGTGGGAGAAAAAAAATTTCCTATGTCCTTACTTAAACAATTGCTTAAATAGGTTTTTTACCAGTTTTTGACAAAGAAAGATAGAATAATTATTTCAGCCTATTGATGAAATTTGTTATCTTATCACTTATTTTCCATTCACAATAAGCGGTGCACAGCAGAAAAAAACTACAAGGTATAGATAAATTAAACTTTTGAAACTTTTGACTTAATCAGATAACATATAAACTAGTAGCATATAATTGATATATTTGTCGGATCTTCATTTTTAAATTCAGCATCAAATTTCAGAAAACTAAGTGTAACGTCACGGTAGTTCATACAAGGGTCCCAGTATGGGTGGGTGGACAACACATAATCTGGTGATTTCGATCTGTTTCTTCAACTTTTTTAATTTTCATATGCCTTAATTAATTGTATAATTACCAATTTAACCATCTTTGATAAATAAATATGTAAAATAATAAATGAATTGGTCTAGGTCTTGCTCCTTAACATTTTTGTTACTGTTTTATGATGAACTTTTGGAAATTTATTAAAACGATTTCAATACTACAAATAGTTGTGCGTATTTTGTTATTATATATTGCGATTTTGTTAAATTATATTCAATTTGATATGACATTGCAATTTGTGTCTAGGGTCGTTTAACTCGTACTGTTGACAGAAGAAACAAACCGGCAGCCTGGGCAATTTTCAAATCCTGTTAAAGTAGTTATGACGCAATCTTGAGGACTATCGGGCCAAGATCTTACCCGTGGAGCATGAATCCTGGACCCGGGGGGAAAACGGCTGGCCGTATGAAAACAATTGAATCCTCCGTCCTCGAGCCCTGACCCGAAAAATCACCCTTGGCATGTTCACACGGAGAGAGAGAAAAAAAATAACCATCAGGCAATAGCCGACGGTGAAAAGAACCACCGAAGGAGATTGTTTCTGACATTTTATCGCGGGAATCAAAACGACTCGAGATAAGATTTCAATCTGAGAAAGTGTTCAGACCTTCGCAGTCCAGTACGACTGCTGTGAATACAAAGGACAGAGAGAGTTCGGGCCGTGTCTAGACGATCGTTCAACTCTTGAATTTAAATCGAGTTTAATTACACATCACAAGAGGAAATATTAAGAAATCAAAAATAGTCACATATCAAAGATTCATGTATGATTTCACTTCGTTAATGACTCTCTGGGACCATGTAATTCAAATAGAGTAACCAAAATAATTAAGTTTATTCTTGGGGTAAAGGTACTTCGTCTCCAAAAACTTCCGCCTTTCTCCAAACAGCGAAGAAGATACTAAAACTTATTACGAAGAACATGATGTGGCATTTTAAGGATCTGGTAGTTAACTTTTATTATATTATTATTACATAGTCCCTTGTCGGAATACCAAACATATAATGAACAATACGGAAATAACCGCAAAATGTCTCATGTTTGGGCCAATTTTTTTGACCTCTTCCTTCTCCACTGTACCTTAGTAACTAGAGCCATAGCGGTTGGTTTTAATGTCTGAAGTTTACGCTCTCAAACCATGTTCCATAGTTCCTCTTGCATTTCAAGCAAACCGAGATGCAGATGTCTATGTCCGTTCACAGGAAGAGTCGTTCGTCCAACGAATTTCTCTTGAACGGCCTAAGACAAATTGAGCTTTGAATTGTTCACACGTACTTGTTTAAACGGGCAAACAAAACACAGTTGTTAAGAGTAGTAAAAAAAAGTAAGAGTGTTAACATCGACGTTTGGTTTTTAAGTATTACATTACGGAGAACTTTCTCGGCGCACAAGTCACGTGAGACAAATCCTGAAAAATCAGGGACACGAAAAAGCTCAAAAAGGAAGCCAAAGGCACATCAGCAAACCTGAATCTCTCGGATTTTACTTATCCTTACGCAAGAGAAATGTGCCAAAGTTGAAAGTATGAAGTTTTTGAGTTTAATATAAAAACGTACTTTTGCTGACCTTCATAATCCATATGGCATCTTTGAAAATCTTTCATAATTATAATATAACCTTATTTTTCTCAAGAAAATTTACATTGATCAAGCTTTTATAATTAGTTACTTTAGTCTTTATAAATTTGAACTTCTATTTGTTGTTTTAAATTTTGTTCTTACATTGCACGATAGAAACTTTAATCTACGTTATTTGTGTTTTATGTTGACAGAATGAAGGCCGCAGCATTGCTCCTTCTTTTCCACTTGGGTTTGACGGTATCCCAAAGGCCTCAGAAGCCTGGAAGATTCTTAGCACTACCAAATCCTCAAAAATGCGCTTCTAGTAAGTTTCGACAAAAGCATCCCTCGCCCAGTCCGAAGTATAATTCTGAAACAATATTTTTTCCAGGGCCGAAAGAGTTCTTCTTCCAAGGACATAATTACTTTTTCAGCGGTCACGTGCCGCAGTTCAGGAACACAAAAGTCGACTGGCTAGACGCAAGGAACTACTGCAGAGAGTACTGCATGGACCTCGTCTCCATGGAGACCCAGCAAGAAAACAACCTCGTCTTCAAACTCATCCAAGACAGTCAGTATTCCTGTTTAGTAACAAAAGGAAGTTTAAACACTTCTTTTTTTTTTTTAATCGTGTATTAATTTTTCTCGGGTTTGTGTGTCGACCTCTTTCGACATCGTGTTATGCAACGGAACATAATTTGTCACGTCCAATGCTACTTTATGCAAGACTAAGTGCATTCAGGTTTTCTAAAAGTTCTCGCATATTTGATTTGGTCTATTTAACGTTGAATAGGGTCTATCTATTTCAAGCTGTTTGGATTCTGTAACCCTTTTATGCCTAAACTATCAAGGATCCTGGCGAAAATAATCGTTCTGACTAGTGAACCGTATTAGAAAAGATATACTACGGTTACTTACTACCGTAGCAAACGAGTCAGACCATTTATATGGTACCTACGACAAAAGATTATTTATATAATTTCTTTAGATCCAAGACAAGCGACAAATCAAAGACCAGAACCGTGCAGCTTTGATCGAACTATATTGGCAAAACTTCACTAATCTATCGTAATGAAGGATTTGAACTATTGACGATTAAACAGGTCAAGTTCAAAATCAATTGGTCGTTTGGTTTAAACGTCTTTTTGTTACAGTTTGTCCAATTGTACAGACTTTTTTTTACTTTCAAGAGATTTTCCGTTAAACTTCAGACCAAAATAGGAGAACTGCATCGGTTCATCGATTGGCAACATGCTAGTGTACTTCGCCAATTTCTCGAACTGAAGAATTTGACCTTTTGACGATTAAACAAGTTAAATTTAAAATCAATGTAAGTTAAGTTTAAAATCAATTACAATTTATTAAGGTTTTCAGTTGAGATAAAAAAGTCAATGGCACGAGCGGGATTCGAACTCGATCCACTCGGACATCAACTTTCCATCTCAACCACACCTTTTGAATTTTCCTTCCTTTTTGACATTTTTCAAATGTCGTGTAATTAATCGTAATATATTAATTGGTCAAGCGGACCATGAAACTAGTGAATTTAAAATCAATGATTTGTTTGATTTAGATTTCTTTATGCTGCATGTTGTTCAATAGTACAGATTTTTTTTTTACTTTCAAAAGATTTTGCGTTAAACTTCATACCAAAAAAGCAGAACTATGTCGGCTCATCCATTGGCAAAATGCCAGTGTAACTTCACTAATTTATCAAACTGAAGAATTTGAACTCTTGAAGTTTAAATGGGTTAAGTATAAAATCAATGCTTCGTTTGGTTTACATTTCTTTCTGCTGCATGTTTTCCAATTGTACGGAATTATGTTTTTTCTTTCAAGAGATTTTTTTAAACTTCAAACCAAACAGGAGAACTTCATCGTCTCATCTATTGGCAAAAGGCCAGTGAAACTTCACTAATTTCTCGAACTGAAGAATTGAAACTTTTGAAAATTAAATAGGTTAAGTATAAAATCAATGCTTCGTTTGGTTTACATTTCTTTCTGCTTCATGTTTTCCAATTGTACGGAATTTTGTTTTTTCTTTCACGAGATTTTTTAAACTTCAAACCAAAAAAGGAGAACTTCATCGTCTCATCTATTGGCAAAAGGCCAGTGAAACTTCATTAATTTCTCGAACTGAAGAATTGGAACTTTTGAAAATTAAATAGGTTAAGTTTAAAATCAATGCTTCGTTTGGTTTAGATTTCTTTATGCTGCATGTTGTTCAATAGTACAGATTTTTTTTACTTTCTTAAGATTTTGCGATAAACTTCAAACCAAAAAAAGAAGAATTATATCGTCTCGTCGATTGGCAAAGGGCTAGTGTAACTTCTTCACTTACTTATCGAATTAAACTTTTGAAGATTAAATAATTTACTGGTGGTTTTGATTAGATTGAACCAAAAAAGTTTGTTTACTTCGAAGAGGTTTTATGTTAAACCTCAATCCAAAAAAGAAGGAAAAATTTCTTTCTCGTGGAAAGAAGCCGTTTTTATGTAGTAGAAGGGCCTATTCTTCCTTATGAAATTTACATGCTTTAGCATACTAATTCCCGAATTAATGCTCACAACATACTACTTATCGAAAACTGCATTAAACTGTTTTATAATTGAATGACCGTTGCAGATGATGTTCCGTACATTTGGACATCGGGCAGACTCTGCGACTTCAAGGGCTGCGAGAACAGGAAGGACCTGGAGCCGAAGAGCGTCTACGGCTGGTTCTGGTCCGCGAACAGGCAGAAGATGGCACCCACCGACAGGACTCCAGCCGGATTCGGCTACAACCCCTGGTCCAGAACTGGCCACAAGAAAACCAGGCAGCCTGACAACGCGGAATTCGACATCAACGGAACTACCGAATCTTGCCTCAGCGTCCTCAACAACGTCTACAACGACGGCATCGCATGGCACGACGTCGCCTGCTACCACGAAAAGCCCTTCATCTGCGAGGACAACGAAGAACTCCTCAATTACGTCGCCTCGACCAACCCGGGTCTCAGGCTGTAGAGGTCACACCCTCAAATACATCCTATCATTTATCCTATTAAATTATTGTTTATTTATCCTGTCTTTAAAACGCATATTTTTGGCGGAAATCAATGGTCTCTCGTATAAAATTATATTTTTCATAGATCAAAACCTTGAAAGTTCTCTTTTAAATTGTGTATATTTTTTGTTTGTTATGCCATCCAGTGTCTTCACGTTTCGATATTCCTAAAAATTTGTAACGAATAACCGAAATATAAAGACTTTTTACTACATAAGTATGTGGTTCTTTGTAAACCTATAGCATAAAACTACAATTACAGAACAACAAGCAGTCTTTTTTCAACATTAAAACCAACAACAATTGAATGAGTGATTAGCTGGCACATGGACCTATTTATATGAGGTTTGTTCGTTGGCCAAACACGCTGCCAAACTACCACGATTAAGTGAACAAACTAACATGTATGTTATTTGATTTAAACATAAAAAAAGGTTTCAGTACTTATTACGTTTTTCATCTGCTGTCCCACTAATTAGCCAATTTTCTTTTCGTCCAACTTTTTGTTCGAGGGTTATGTTTATGAGCATGTTTTGACTTTATTTCAAGAACCATTAGAGAATGTATTCCTTATGACCAGGAAGAATTTTGATTTGCTCTTGTTAGCCAACGTAGAATTTCACAGACTTTTTTTGGCCGGCAACTAACACAAAACACGAGGAACTTAGGAACAAATTCTATCAACAACACCCCAAACGGCGAAAAACCGCTAATGAAAACACAGACAAAATTGTTTTGAGGGGTACGGTTAAAAGGGTAGAGTTAAGAGTTAAAAATAGTAAGTAGAACTACCATAGTTCATCTGTCGCCTGAACAAACCTCTTTTGTGGCATAAATGATAGCCACATTAAAAACAACTCGCAAAAACAACCCCTTTGAGAGGAAAAAGGAACAGAAAACATTGTAAATCCTAACAATTACAAGACATCCTTCAGTAAAATATAGATGACCAATGTTAATTATGTCTAGATGAGACAGAGACAACACAGCATAGCTTATGCAACTGCCATGAAATAGCCAAGAAAAGGCTGAAAATGAAAGCCAAACTTAAGCAATGTAAACCTTGATATTATACCCCTGAGAAGAATTTTCCTTTCTTAACCATCAGCAGAAGTCATTACAATAGACGAAAGTGCAAAATGGAACGGCCCTTGTGATTCCAAAAGGATGAGGACAAAAATCACAGGCTCACCACTAAAGATAGAGTGGATATTGTCGCGAGAAGTACCAAAAAAGCAAAACCTGATCAAATTGTTCGGTAATGATCAAATTACAGACTCATCATTCTGCAGACCTCAAGAAGAAATCTAACAATCCAATTATCAAAGTTGCCTAAATAAGGATTAAATAAAAAATGCGTAATTCCTTAGTCCATGTCATCACCTTTTCCTGTTACAGTATACAATCATTTCAATATATATTATAAATTGAATTAAAATTTTTATGTAAAGTGTGGATGAGATGAAAAATTAGTGTCATGAGCGAGACTCGAACCCACGACCTTCGGCTAGATACGCCGGTGCTCCAACCTCTTGAGCTATCGCAATTTCGATTCACCGGACCACCAACTCACCATCTAACGTACAACTTTTGATTTCCCTCTTTTTTGCCATATAATCAAATATCGTGTAATCTGATTCGATTCTTATGAAGTGGCCACGGGGAGCTGTTAGCGAAATGCAAGCACTTCAGTAATTATATTAATCCGTACTGTATTTGAGATATAAATACGGAGCATTTATAATTGATCTGAGGACTTTTCGTGTGAAAGGATTGGATACGTTGGATATTGGAAGGTTTAGGTTTCCCACGGTTTTATTACATCCAAATAGGTTGTACTGAAGAAATGTTTTATGGATTGAAGTTTGTTTTTCGTCGATACCTTGGATTGTCGTCCTATACGTTTTTAGAAGACCGTAGAATCTGCTTAGGTATTGTCGTTTCAATCCTATATGCTGATTCTATTTAAACCTGGAAGATAATGAATGCAGTCGGATTTGGAAATTGGAACAGTAAATGTGAGAGGAGATTTACTTAATTTTAAATGTGACATGGACTCACTTGCTTTCATTTTCCTCATTTTTTATTGTCTACACCAGCCTCGTGATGATATGTGACATCTCTCTGCAGATCTTCCAAAGCAACCTCAGGCGTAGTACTAGAAGATATGCAGTATAGAAAATATAGAGGTCCGAACACACTGCACTGCGACACTCCCTACTGTTTTTGTACACGTGATTCTTGTCGGATCCGTAAGAATCGCTCTGTTAAGTAAGAGTGGAGGATCAAGTCGATCGTATTGGAGCAGGAGACCCTTGTGCCACACCAAGAAAGCCTCCCATGGAATATCCTTTGTGCTTAAGGGACGAGGATTAACGTCTACAACGCCAAATACTTGCTGGACTGAGGAATAGTGAGAGCGAGAGCTCTGGGAGAAGATTAAAGGGCTATAATTTGGCAACAATTTTGTATCTTTAAAAAAAATTGAAGTAATAAGGTAAGGAATAGGAAACAGTACAAACAGAATTTACGAATACTTTTGGAGGAAACTATAAGCACACAAATTTACGTCTATCGGCTATTTTGTTACAGAGCGCCATCCCATTTGATGTACTTTTTTCCATGAAATCTAGACAGTACTGATATTAGGATTTCATTTTTTCGGCCTTAGCAGGTTCCAGGTCTATCTTATGTTCAACAGAACAGTGCTACATTCGCAGCTGTCATCCATCAAGATATCGGCATACCTGAAGTCCCAATCTGAATAAAACAGTATTGTAACAATTAATTAAAGTTTTCAGTTGGTATAAAAAGTCAATGACACGAGCGGGATTCGAACCCACGATCTTTGACTTGCCGCTGCTCTACCACTTGGGCTATCGTGACCTCAATCCACTCGGACACCAACCTCCCATCTCAACCACACCTTTTGAATTTTCCCTCCTTTTTGCCATTTTTCAAATGTCGTGTAATCAATTTGATTCTCGACGACAAATAAAATGGCCACGCAGAGCTTTAGTGAAGGTATACTTTATTTTAAACTTATTAAATTCACTAGTTTCGTGGTCCGCTTGGCCAATTAATATCTTACAATTAATTAAGGTCTTCAGTTGAGATAAAAAAGTCAATGGAACGAGCGGGATTCGAACCCACGATCTTCGGCTTGATACGCCGCTGTTCTACCACTTGAGCTATCGTGACCTCAATCCACTCGAACACCAACCTCCCATCTCAATCACACCGTTTTGACTTTTCCCATCTTTTGCCATTTTTCAAATGGTTGAGATGGGAGGTTGGTGCCCAAGTGGATTGAGGTCACGATAGCTCAAGTGGTAAAGCAGCGGCGTATCAAGCCGAAGATCGTGGGTTCGAATCCCGCTCGTGCCATTGACTTTTTTATCTCAACTGAAAACCTTAATTAATTGTAAGATATTAATAGGTCATGCGGACCACGAAACTAGTGAATTTAATATTGTAATCTCAACCTCCTCACTATTTTTTCAAACTCTACGATTATCTGTACCTAATATAAATCAAAGGATTGCAAGATTTTCGCTAAATAACCACTTACCTTCTTCATGTTTTGTTTTCATATACGTTTATAGTCGGTTGTTATTCTGTAACTGTTTATACATCTATTAGCTAGATTCGTCAATTTAGACGTTCTCTTCAAGAAAAAGACACTGAATAGGTTGTTCATATAATTTGACTTTTCTTTATCCAAGGATTTGAAGTTCTAAGGACCCAGGCCAGCATAGAATAACCTTTCCAAACAAAATTTTAGGTTTTTTCTGGACTAGTTTTTTATTTCATATTACAAAGCAATATATTTAAATAAATCAATAAATATATAAGTTAGAATAAGTTGAAAAGTTAGCATTCACACAATTTGACATTTGTTCACTACGTCAAAGTCACGGATGGGATCTCACTCAAAGAATACTCATCAGGGTCATGTGATTTCAAGTCGAAATAACTTGTGGCGAAGGCATCCTTGCTGCTTACTTGACTTGTCGGACTCTCGGTTTTCGGGAAATCGTAGTAGCTGCCAAGACCTTCTGACAAGCTGAAATCGTAATGTGAGAGCAAGTTCTCTTTTTCGGGTTGGTCGTACGCTCCGTCATATTCGTTAAATGTTTGTAACCAGTCGTGTGTAAAGTTGTAGGGCATATAACTGGAAAAGTTATATTTACCTGTCAAGGAGTTTGTGTCTTGAATTTTGACTTCTTGCGACTTCACTTCTTTGTTTTCCCATTCGCCTTTCGTCTTCGGGTCCTCGAATTCATAAATCGGTTTTTCGAGTTGGGTCGGTCTTTCCGTATGGAGAGGTGTTTCAATATCAAATTTAACCGGGATGACAAATTCTTCGTTTCCTGAATACGGAACTTTGTTTTCGACGTAGGACGTATAGTGCCTCATCGGATGGAGGGGAAATGGGTACTTCGGCATCGTCATCGGTACCGGCCTTCGGACATAGTACGGCACATATGTTTTGGCGACCGGCCTGGAAATCGGTACTTTGATCAAGTAGGGGACCCTGGGCTGGACCGGTATGTACCTGGGAAGTCGGGACAAGCTGTACCTCGGCTGCTGACGGAACCAAAAGCCGTCCACGGACAGAACACCGGCACTAGCACAAAATAACAGGAGAAACATATTAGCACTGATTTCATTTTTTTTGGTCGAGCACCTTTTCTACCCTTCCTCCCCACTTCGCATGGTCATTAATCGCTGCCTCCGAGTAAAAACGTAAAGATTTGTTAATTGGAGTGTGGAGCATTCACACATGAGAGTGTCCGATTTCCATTAAAATCCATTCGTTGCTTATTATTAATTGCTTTGCCTTGTAATTGGGGTCTCCCCTGTTTTGAATTCAATTTTCGATGTGACTGACTATGCACTGAACTGCATTTCGTTTCCAGAAGAAAAATTGAGTTGAAAGTTGTATTTTATGTTTAGCCCAGCAGAACAAATTATTAACAACAAATCCAGTTCAACAGTCAACTGCTTACTCAACTATGTAAAAAACTGGATAACTTTGGACGAAAAAAGTACAGTTTTAAAATAGAATTTTTTAGATATTTGACATTCGTGCAGTGATTGAAAAGCATAAGGACCAATCAAGGAGGATCGACAGTCCTAGGCCTTAGGGAGGGATGAGTATATTGATAATGCAATATTAAATTCATGAATTGAAAACCAGACTAGCATAGCATC